TATTATCTGGAGGTCATTCTTGTGCTAAGAAGATATACTTAGTGGTTTAGGTCTCTGGCTTTAGAGCCAGAGGCTGGGAGTTCGATTCCTGACTGTCCCTGCTTAGCAGGGGTGGAACTCCGTGATGCAGAGGGTCCCTTCCCAGCTCCGGAGTTCTAAGAGGAGGAGTTGAATCGCCCTTGTCATTCTGAATGTTGATTTTTCTGGAACTGCAAAGTCGTTTGCTCCTTCTCCTTTGTGATAGCTTTCCAGCATCTGAAAAAATTGCTATCATCTCACTCTTGGTTTATCACAACTTTCTGGGCTAACAGTCCAAACACCCTCAAACTGTTGGTTTGCAAGACCGTCTCGGACACGTTCCAACTTGGCAGGCGGTCTGTGGGTATCTTCCCTGTGAATTCTCTGCCTGCCCCATAGCGGCATGTCTCCTTCAAGCCAGCCCCCCCCCTCCCACCGGGCTATCCTGCCACGCTCACGGCCCCTTTTTGCTTCCACAGGCTGGGAATGTCGTGACCGGCGAGATGGTGGAAGAGCTCATCCTGTCCGGAGCTGACATCATCAAAGTGGGAATTGGACCAGGTGACTGGAGGGGCGGGGGCATTTTTGCACCGGGGGGGGGGAAGAACAAACCCAGTAAGAGGAGAGCTGAGCCTTTTTGTGCTCAACGCAGAGTGGTTGCTGCTGGGAGAGGAGGGAGTAAAGGAAGCCGCTTCCCTCTGGAGCGGAATTGTGCCTTTTTTCATCTCATGTAGGAGACGGAGGCCTTTTTGAAATCACAGGCTGGCCGGAGTTACTTTGCCTTGTCTTTTTCCAGGTTCAGTATGCACCACCCGGAAGAAGACGGGGGTGGGCTACCCCCAACTCAGCGCCGTCATGGAGTGCGCGGACGCTGCACATGGCCTCAATGGTCACATCATTTCGGTGAGTAGCTTTTAGCCCCAGCGGCTGCAGCCTCAGGCTTGGTGGGCTAAAGAGTGCTGCAGAAGCAAGAGGTTCTACCGGGAGCAAACATTCCTTCTATGGTGCAAGTCAGAGTCCTGGTTGATTCCCCACTTTCATCTCGCAGAAGGCTGGCGCTCAGAAAACATCCGTTTAGGTATCTCTCGTGCTTGTACAGCAAGAACAGAAGAGTTGCCAGTACAGTGGACCCTCGACTTACAGATGGCTCGACTTAGACTTTTCGAGTTAGACTTCTCTGGCTGCAAAATTTAGATTCGACTTGCAGCCAGAGAATCGACTTACAGGCCAGAAAAAAAAACCAAAATGGAATAAAAATAGAATAAAAACCACTGGTTATGGGATTAATCGGTTTTCAGTGCATTGTAGGTCAATGGAGATTCGACTTACAGACTTTTCGACTTGCAGCCACCATTCCAATACGGATTAATTCCTTAAGTAGAGGGTCCACTGTATCGCAGGACGGTGATCTCCAAGGGATCAGTTACCTGCTCACAATATTCCATAAAACTCCCAGATAGAGATGTTTCCAAAGCGTTATTACCAGAACTGGGGTTTATTGTATCCGCAGTTTGGGGCACCCACTGAGTGGGGGTTGGAATGGATCACCCTCAAGAGACTGTGGCCCTACTGTATCTTCTCAGAACTGTCAGAGAGAGAGAGAGAGAGAGAGAGAGAGCGTAGGAAATCTTAGCTGCAACAACATCTTAGGATAGGTATCCCTCTTCTTTCGAGAAAATCCAGCCCGTTCTCAGCCCATGTGTCGGCAGAAGCAACGCAGTGCGGTGACAGCAGACCTGGGCTGGAACCTCTCAGTGCTAATCCTCAAGAGCCATGACGCTAAATGGGTAACCCTGAACCCACCCCTCTCTCCCCGCCTGACCTAACTCAGGGATGTGAGAAGGATGAGCGGAAGGCCTCCCTCCTCCCTGAGGGCCTTGGAGAAAAAGTGGAACACAATGTGGCTCTTGAACAAAATGTTGGTTCATTGAGAGAACGGGCAGTTGCTTCGGAATGGCAGCCGTGAGAAAAATGAACGTGGAAAGCCGAGATTCTCCTCCTGTCTTCTCTCCTGCAGGATGGAGGTTGCAGCTGCCCGGGGGACGTGGCCAAGGCTTTCGGTAAAACAGCCATCCTATCTGTTTGATATTTAATTTGCTCGGTGGGTGGGGGTTTAGGTAGAGCCCCACGCAGTTCTCTCCTGCTCATTCCACTCCCGTTCCATCCCATCTCAAAGGTGCCGGGGCGGACTTTGTCATGCTAGGGGGCATGTTGGCCGGCCACACAGAATCCGGGGGAGATCTCATTGAGAAGAACGGCCAGAAGTACAAGCTTTTCTACGGCATGAGCTCCGAGGTGTCTATGAAGAAGTACGCTGGAGGGGTTGCCGAATACAGGTAGGAGGGGAGCAGGGAGGAAGGAAGGACCAACACTCGCTCACTGGTCCTTGGTTTCTGCCCTATGGTCAAGGGAGGGCTGGTGTGGGAGGCTGCAATGCTCCTGTTCAGCATTTGAGCCACCCTCCAGAAAATGTCATTCAATGACCCAACCCTTTTTTTAGCATCATGTGGCCACTGAGCCTGCCGGATCCCCATGTTGTTAAAAATCCATGTATAACTCTTATATTCCCCCCCCAAAAGTAATTACAATGCAGAAAGTTGATTAACACGTACATAGATACACCTACGGATCTCCCTTGACCCACACCCGCCTCCCAGCATGCCCCAGTGCCCTCCCCAGCTGCCATGCCAGGAGAGGGAGCCTCCTGGGGCACCGTCACCACCAACAGGAGCCGAGACGCCCCCTTTCTCATAGCACTTCCTGGAGACAAATAGCAGCACATTACTGATTGAAGATTCAAATTTTTGTTTATTAAGTTAAAAAAAAATACGCTGCGTGAGAACAGAACAAGATCAGCATTTCGGCTCTTGAGTTCCAGGACTTCTCATAGCACTTCCTGGAGACAAATAGCAACACATTACTGATTGAAGATTCATTTAAATTTTTGTTTATTAAGTTTAAAAAAAATACACTGCGTGAGAACAGAACAAGATGAGCATTTTGGCTCTTGAGTTCCAGGACCGGGGTCTGTCCTGCGTCACGGTACCATTTCCGTTTCGACATCCTCTTTGCTCTAGAGATTCCAGGCCCCATCAGCCCCCAGCTATGGGGGTTACGGGGCCTGGGACTGAAGCACAAAAAAAGGGTCATGAGTCCCCCGGCGCTGACCTGAGAGTGTGAAACGGAGCCCGGCAGGGAAACCCCTTGCCCGGCTTCTTTCTGCGTTCGGATCGGGTGGCTTTAATGTTCAAACAAGTTCCTGCAGCCGCTCCGGCCAAAGCATGCCTGGTAAGGGCCCAAATTCTGATTCGGTTAATAGATGAGACCCGTCCCTTGGCTTCAGCGTCTCTTCCTCTCCCCCGCAGGGCTTCCGAAGGCAAGGTGGTGGAGGTGCCGTTCAAGGGCGACGTGGAGCACACGGTGAAAGACGTGCTGGGCGGCATCCGTTCCACCTGCACCTACGTGGGGGCGGCCAAGCTGAAGGAGCTGAGCCGCCGCACCACCTTCATCCGGGTCACCCAGCAAGCCAACCCCATCTTTGGGGATGAAAAGCAGTCCTGAGCACCCTGCTTCCCTGCCTACCTTCCCTACCCAAGGGGGGGGCGACTTTGGAGGACTCTTCACCCCCCAGAAATGGGTGGCCGTGCGGTCTCCAGGGTTCCGGTGTGTGTGTGTGTAGCCCCTAAAAATAATTCCTGCAAACTCTTGTCGTCCACCTCATTTCAGGACTGCCAGGGAGGGATTGAGCGGCCACCGAAAGAGCAACTGGTTTGCATTGAACATACCCAGTTCCTCCCCATATCACACCGTCTGTCCCTCCAAGACCTTTTGTTTCATTGAATTCTTGGTTCATTCCAGTGCAGGATTGTTCCTCCTGCCCAGACTGGACAGGAGGAGCAGGTATTCTGCTTTATCATGTTTACATAGTCTTTTTTCCACTCTCTGTCTTTTCTTAATGTTGGCGTCTGCATTCCAGGATTCCACACAAGTTTCTCGAAACCAACCCTGGAGGGAGCCCTAGTTCCACTTCCCCCTCCATCCCCCGGATAAGAGAGAGCGAGTTTTCCATTCCTCTGCGACCCAAAGACAAAGACCCATAGGAAAAAAAAAATCACAGGAAAGCTTTGACAGTGTTTACTGAATAAAGCTGAATAAACATGACTCGCAGGGTGGCATTTCTCTCTGTGTTAATTTTTTTTTGGGGGGGGAGGAAACAGGGTGGAGGAGGAGGCGGTCAGACTGCAGGAGAGGCTACAACGGCCAAACAAATACAACACCTACAGGAAGGGGAGAAAACAGGACATTAAGTCGGCTGCCAGGGGACCCCACCTTCAGCCCCTTGAACCGGCCACGTTCTCAAAGGCTTCCTCCACCATCCCCAACAGGACAGAAAGTCCGAGAGTCTTGGTCCTCTCTGAAGTCCCCCAACCTCTAGGGACCTGGAGCACCTAAGACCTTCGGGCGGCCTCCTGAAGGTCACAGCTGAGCGGCCACACAGGCTGGGCTCCTGGTAGTAACAGGACCCTGAAAAAAAACCCCAACTTAAGAGCGTCCGCAGAGGCCAAAAGATAGTTCAGGCCAGGGGTGAGAGAGGCCTGCGGCTCTCCAGATGTGGCTGGGCCACAGTCTCCATCGGCCCTAGGCAGCATCCATAGAGGAAGGATGATGGGAAGACTGGTATTCCCACAGAGCTTCTATTAAACAGAGCATCCTGCCCGTGTAGTCCTGGGGGGGAGGGCACACTGTGTGGGGAAGAACTGATCTTGCAGCAACTGTGCAGTTCCTGCGCTAGCACCCCGGCACAAGTCTCCGCTTGGCGGAAGCTCAACGAGCAGATAACGGCCTGTTTCATTCACTGGCAGGGCAGGAAAGCTGCACGCCATCGGTCAGACGCTCCCGAGTCGCAAGGCCCTCAGGGCTAGGTCTTCCCGGGGGTGCGGACGCAGGCGAGGGGCGTACTGTGTGTTCGCAGAGGGCGGTGCCCACCCTTGACGGGCAGCTGTCCAAAGGGCACCCATGATGGCACGCAGCCCTCCCAGTGTCGAAGAGCTCCCAGCCTTCTGTTCGGGCACCCTTGACGGGCAGCTGTCCAAAGGGCACCCCATGATGGCACGCAGCCCTCCTGGTGTCGAAGAGCTCCCAGCCTTCTGTTTGGGCACCGTAGAGAGGATGGCAGCTCACACCACACCGGGGGGGGGGGGGGGGGNAAGAGGGAAGGGAGCGGACACTCACCGATTCCCGACGTCCCTCAGATGCTCCTGGAAGGTGGGGATCAGGGTGTTGTGCTGGGTACACTGGTAATCATCCTGTTTTTTGGGGAGGAAAGGCAGGCAAGGTGGTCCCCAGTTGCCCGAGACCTTCCGGCAGAGGCTCCTCTCTAAGGGGGCCAGATTCAATTCACTTCCCCCAGTGCGTCGGCGTCCTGTTTGTGAGCGAGATGGTCGTTTACAGAACAGACACGACAGATCTCTGCCCTGAGGAGGTTACAGCCCAGAGTTCCACCCCTGGGAAAAAATTGGTGGGTGGGTGGGAAACAGAAGGGAAAGGCGAGACACCTTCCTTGGCTTCTTGTGGCCTCAGCTGCCTCGGGGCCTGTGGAGGTGGCGCGGCCACTCCTGTTCCCCCTGAGCAGCAAGTCTGCGGGGTTTTGCTCCGAACTTTATAGGAGCTATTGAAGCAGCCGAGTCCTTCCGCCATGCCTACTGAGGTTTAAACATCCGTCTACAGGGATGGTCCTGCTTCAAAATCACCTTGGACAGCTTTCTTTCAATTTTCAGGCTAAAACCAGGAAGGTAAAATCGTATCTGTGACCCTGATATTCACTCGCTTTGGCTGGCTTGAGAAGTGGGCTGAAATTAGACTCCCTCTCTGATCAGCCTCCTCACAGCCTTACTGGAGCAGGCTCAGTCCCTTCTTCCCAGACCACCTTCACCCCCTCTTCCTCCAGCTAGCACCCTGCCCCAGACTCAACTCCTCCTGCCTGCGGTTTTCCTGAAGGATCGGTCCCCTGGGGCTCTTTCCTCACCTTCCTGAAGGGAGAGCCACTCCCTTCGCTGCTCGAATCCAGCACCATGTCCTGATCTTCATCTGCAGAGAGAACAGAAAGCGAGGAACTTTTCCTTCTGCGGTGTGGATCCCTTTTCTTTCCCCTCCCTTCACATCCCACGTCAGCAGAGTTCAGCCTCCTTCATGTGGCTGGACCACAGCCCCCAAGATTCCCCATGTGTTCCGTCCGATTAGACCTCCCTCTTTGCTCCGAAGAAGCGAAGTCAAAGAGGATGGCGCAAAATATTTAGAAATGAATGCAATGGGGAGGGGGGGGGACCACTGGATTTTTTCCACCGGAGAGAAATCCTTTCCACCACCCAGGATGAATTCCTGTCCTTGTACACAGAGGGTTGGGAGAGCAAGCACTGAGTAGTGCTGGATTTTTTCCACTGGAGAGAAATCCTTCCCACCAGCCAGGATGAGTTCCTGTCCTTGTACACAGAGAGTTGGGAGAGCAAGCACTGCGTAGCGTTTGATCCTACCCTCATTTTAGATGGAACAGAACATGGGTGGTGGTGGTGCGGAGTGGGGAATTTGGACAGACGAGGGAAGGAAAAAAGGGGGGCAGTGGTTGACTACCTCCTTCGCCTATCATTACCTCCGAATCAACATTTACTCAGAAACTGCCTTTGCGCACCTGAGGTGTAGGAAAAGGCAAGAAAGCATGCCGGCGATGGAAGTGGGGAGGAAGAAGCAGAAGGGCTGGGGGAACCGGGAAAGGAGAGTCCTACGGCAGGAAACCCTGAAGTGCGAGCCCACTCACAAAAACCGGGCCCTCCCGACGCGCCCTGCTGTAAAAATCCCCCCTTGCTTTGCCAATGTAAACGCCAGAAAACAGCAGAGAGCTCAGGCCAAACCAAGGAATCCGGTGGCTGGATTCAGCATCCAGAACAACTCGATGCACAAATCTGTGTGGAGAGCAGAAGAACTCAAGGGGACCGTGCGGGACACATACCTGTTCCGGACCTGTCTGCATGATGTCCGTCAGGATCTCTGAATATGAAAAACGAGGAGGTTAATGAGCTGCGGCAGAAGCAACAGGGGACAGAGAAACTGGGAAAGGGACGGGGAGGCACTTACTCTCTCTGAGCACCCAGGCAGCCGCTCCTCCCTCTTCTGGGCCTGCCTGGGCTTGTCTGGACCTTGCAAGGCTCTGGCGTCTTAGGTCTTTCCTCGTCTTCTTCCTCTTCCTCCTCGCTTTGGAAAGGGGAGCTTGACTGGCTGGGAGAGGGTGGAAGGACGTGGGGTCCTAAGGAACACAAGAAGCAGGTTTAGAGGGAAGGAAGGGCCCGCAGGGGGAGGGGGGGACGCTGTGCCGTCTCTTTGACTCACCTCCAACCTGATAGCCCATGACAGTCAGGTATTGAGAGAGGATGTTGGAGTTTGGCCGGGGAGCCTGGCCGGGACCCTGCAAGGAGGCCGCCACCAACAGCTGGAGAAGGAAAAAAGAAAGACAGAAGGTCACGTCATTCCATCGGGGCAACGCTTGGCCTGCCTTTTTTGCAAGACAGACTCCTGTGAGACGGGATTTCACCCTTCTCGGTGGCGACTCTGGTGCATTAACATGCTCTTATCAACACCAGGAAGGGAGAATCTAGAACTCTTAACTTGTTTTAAGACCACAAAGGAGTCACTCTCTGCACCCAAGAAAAGAGTGTCTGGAGGGGGGCGTTCTCCCCTACCCACCATACGGACGCGTGGGAGGCTCACGCCTTCAAGAACCTACAGGGCTGACAGTCAAGGCCTCAACGTTTAATTTTGTTCCCCAGCTGAGCAAAAGTAGCAGGCTTGGTTTTCTTGAAACCTGAAGGAAATGAGTGGATTTCTTCTTCCTCACTTACAAAGCCCCTCTCCCGACGTAAACGTGTTTCACAGCTGAGCTGGTCCAGATCTAAAAGGCTTCTGCACCCACTTATCACATCTCCTTAACCTAGCGGGGTGGGGAGAGAGGGCAGAGGTGGGAAAAGTTCTGTTTTTGGACTACGACTCTCGGAATCCCCAGACAGCGTGGCAGTGGCTCTGGCAAAACACAGAAAATTAAGATAGAGTGCTGCTGTGGACCGCATGTCTCTGACATCTAGATAAACAGAGAGTCTCAAGCTGGGGTCTTTTGCTAGCCTTGGTCACTAGGAGCGTGTTGACTGGAAAAATAAGAACTAAACAAGGCACAAGGATCCCCCATGGGATGATTCTAGGACAGCTGGAGACAGAAGCGGTGGTGGCCGACGGCTCGGTTGCAGCCCCAGCCCCCTTTTCTTCCTCCTGGCTGGTACCTGCTGGAAGTTGGGCTCAGGGAGGACGCTCTCCAACTGGGCCAAGTAATCACAGAAGAGATCTTCCACCACACGCAGGAAGGCTTCCCCGTAGTCGTTTTCTAGGTGCTCCTGAAAAAAGGTAACACAAAAAAATAAGAGCAGCGGGTATTTCCTCCAGCCCAGGCATGCCCAAAGCACAGCCCTCCAGGGGATCTGAGACAGCAACTCCCAGCATTTCTCATCACCGGCCGTGCCGGCAAGGATGGTGGGAGCGGCAGTTCGAAACGGACCTAACAGGCCACACGTTGTCCTCTCAGCTTTACACCAAAATGTCAGGTGACCCTTGTACTATTTCTATCATCACACATACGAATAGGTAAAGGTTCCCTTTGACATTTAGTCCAGTCGTGTCTGACTCTCGGGCACGGTGCTCATCCCCGTCTCCCAAGCTGTAGAGCCAGCATTTGTCTGAAGGCAGTTTTCGTGGTCACGTGGCCAGCGTGACTAGACATGGAACGCTGTGACCATCCCACTGTGGTGGTACCTATTTACCTATTCGCATTTTTATGTGCTTTTGAACTGCTAGGTTGGCAGGAGCTGGGCCAAGCAACTGGAGTTCCCTCCGTTGCGTGGATTCAATCTTCCGACGGCTGGTCTTCCGACCTTGCAGCACAGAGGCTTCTGCAGTTTAACCCGCAGCGCCACCACGTCCCTTACATATGAATAACTTACAGATATATATCAATTATGCAGCTTCACAGGAAAAAGCTTCCTTGGCCTAGTTCCACCTCAGGGGTGGGCATCCTGGCTAGCAAAAGCCGTTTTCTAGGGGTTCCAACCAAACGTTCTGAGAGGACACGCATGGAACTGAACTTGTCTCTTTCTGAAGACAAAGCAGGGGCTCCAGTATAGCTGGGCCAGCCCTGACCTGGCATGGCTCTGGCCTTCCAACAGCCTGTCCTTCCCTCCTCAGTCCTGGTTCGTTTCTCCTCAGCCTCACCTGCACGTACTTCTCCCGCTCCCTGGGGTCCCTCAATAAGCCGAACACCAGGTCCCGGAAGTTCTCCTGGGCCTCCCGCACCAGCGCCAAGTCCCGAGCGGTCTACGGTGAAAAGAACAGAAGGCCCCCGTCAGCACAGAAAGGATCTCTGGAGCAAAGGATCTCTCGGCCGTCCAGGGTTGCGGTGGAGGGAAGCAAAGCCGGCAAGCAGGGTCTCGCTCTGCGCACACAGAGACACTCACAGCCTCCGGGTGGGGCTCAGGCTCCCTCTCCGGGAAGTACCGATCCATGGCCTCGTAGACCTTCTCGTGCGGCTGCTCCTCCTGCAACATGGCCATGATCACCTGGGCGAGGTAAGAGGAAAACAAAAGGTCAAGGGACAATCCTGCATCCCAGCAGTCCGGGATCAGGGGGAAGACAGAGAAGCAAGCGCAGTGTGGCCAGAGTCTGTTAAAAAAAAAAAACAACAACCCCAATCTCTTGTGCTCCCGAGACATGGGGGGGAGGCGAGGCCGTTCGGGGGTTTCGTGGTGGCAGCTGGAAGCACGGGTCTCCCCTCCGCCGCCCCGGCCCACCAGAGACTCACCTTGGCCTGCAGGCCCAGGCGCACCTTCACAAAATGCCGGAAGTGCACCAGATCAGGGGCGGCCTCCCCCACGGCCTCCAGCAGCGCCAAGACGCGAGGGAAACTGTGGACCTGGCGCTCCCGGACGACGTGCCACGAGGCCGCCGCCACCAGCCGCAAGGCGACGCTGGGTTCACAGGCCTCGGCCCGTTCCTGAAAACCTTCCTCCACCTCCTCCTCCTGGTCGTCTTCCTCCTGCACCCAGGCCGCGCTTGCCATCTCCTGGGATCCCCACCACCAGCGCCTGAAAAACAAACAAGGAGGGAAGGAGGGAGGTCAGCAACTACCGGCCCAGACACCAGTTCCCGGCCTCGCCCTTCCCGCTCTAGGCTCCGCCCACAAGGCTCTCCGCCCACCATGCTGGAGTCCCGCCTCCCTGCCCTCTGGCTCCACCCCACCCTTAAGAACCGCCCCGCCTGGAAGCCACGCCCATTTCTACTTCTCTTGCCCGGCCCTCTGCACTTCGAGACCGCCCCTTTCCTTGTACTGTATTACCCACCCTCTCCCGTGGCTCCGCCCCTTCCCCGCTCCGCCATCCCCATTGGTCCCTGTCCTT